TTCGGTGATGAACCTTCGGGTTCCGTAAGCCATCTGGTTGGTTGGGTCCACTATTTGGGAAGCCTGAGGGGAAGAGACCCCTGGGGAGACCTAGACGTAGATGGGAGGATAATCTCAGGCGGGATCTATGGGAGATAGGAGTTGAAGGAGACTGGATTTTGTTGGCCCAGGACAGGGTCCAGTGGAGGGCTTTGGTTAATTCGGTGATGAACCTTCGGGTTCGGTAAGCCATCTAGTTGGTTGGGTCCACTATTTGGGAAGCCTGAGGGGAAGAGACCCCTGGGGAGACCTAGACGTAGATGGGAGGATAATCTCAGGCGGGATCTATGGGAGATAGGAGTTGAAGGAGACTGGATTTTGTTGGACCAGGACAGGGTCCGGTGGAGGGCTTTGGTTAATTCGGTAATGAACCTTCGGGTTCCGTAAGCCATCTAGTTGGTTAGTTTACTTATTCTTATTTGCACCTTTCTTCCTGTGTAAAACAATATAAACTCACAATTTTTGAAGCGTGATTTGAGGACTTTCAACAAAGGTATGGCCCAATATTCCTTTCACGTATGAAGCAATAGCAGATACCAACTGTGGAAAGAATGTACAAATTATTCATAAACAGTAATACTATTGCAGTTTCTTACATTTTATTAATAAAATTAACTACATTGATGTGATGCATAAAATAAAGGCACATTCCTTCAAACTTTATTATATGGAAATATGGGATTTAAAACCCCATATTATGAGCCTGTGAGTCAGACTATATCTATGGGGTTAGTGATTTAGAGGTTGGCATGGCCCGCTGGATCATCTGGACAAGAAAGGATCTGATAACAAAATTGTTACATCATATAATGAAAAATTGGCAGGAAATCAGCTCAAAAATGTGGTTTACTTCTTAATTCTTATACAAAATTTTATCAAACTCCTTCATGTATGTGCGCTTGTGAAAAGAACACATAATAATTTACACAATTACCTAAATGTTAGAGATCATTACAGTTCATGTTGTAATAATGTAATTATATTAACAGTTATTTTACACTTGCTAATTCCATTAATAATCGATGATATGTCATGTATCTGACGTCTGAAAAAGCAATGAATCTTAATTTATTACTTTCTACTGCTACTACTATAATAAAATTTCATGGTAACAAACATTATTTTTCAGCAGTCCACACAAGTTAATTACACTGAGATTTTGCTGTATCTTCTCTGAATGCTAAATTTACCTTTTCCTCCTTAAGGGCTTTCAGTAACATCAGCTTCTCAAAATTATCTAACTTTGTATTCCAGTCTGTTTGTGCAGCCTTCTGGTTTGTTACCTGGATATTAATTACCTGAAAACACAATTATAAAACAATATTTTAAAAGCAAAAATGACGAAGTAAATGCACAATTCACACACTGAAAAACAGGTTTGTTAATGTCCAAAACCTTCCAAGCTAAAGGTTAACGACTGCAGTAACTTGATAATTCAACAATCCACCAATCTGTATTTACTGTGCAAGATACATTTATGTTATTTTGTGTTCCTAGTGCATATAAAAGAAAGTATATTTACCCACAGAAATATTACTACAATAAAACACAACACTGTATTTCTTATACCAATTATCCCTCTTATTAAAAATATATTAAAATTGGCCGTCAATCACAATATAAGATAATTAAAAGATTAAAATATCATTTTACGTACCTTATCGAGTACTCGATTTACATGTAAATCGAGTACTCGATAAGGAACGTAAAATGATATTTACATGTAAATCGAGTACTCGATAAGGAACGTAAAATGATATTTTAATCTTTTAATTATCTTATATTGTGATTGACGGCCAATTTTAATATATTTTTAATACTTATAAATCACAATATGACGCATCTACAATATCTTACAATTATCCCTCATTATTTTCAAACAGGAAATACATAACATTAATCTTATATAAGAAACCATCTCACATCTTTATGTTTCTTTAAAAACAGCTAATATATCCTATGTTAAGCTAAATTACTGTATGTTTATCATATTTAGTAGACTAGTAGTTTCACCTCATTACATTCCTGTCAGTATCATAAATCCTTGTCATTGTTTAATTAATATTTATGTCATTATATTATTTATTTAGAATAAATAATTATTTTAATATATTTACAGTTAAAATGTGCCTGCTTATTCTTTAGAATATCTTTTTACATTTATGAATACCAACTATTTTCATTCTTCTGTTGAATTTATCTCTCGTCACATAAGCGTACTTATTTTTAGATAACTCAGTTGATACATAAATACAATGTAATAACTTTATTGCAAAATGGCAACCAAACTTATAGACCTGTGTATCAGGTATTGAAAACCAATTCCTAAAAATTCATTGTTTTTCCCCCGATTCATAAATTAATAAATGTATAAAAACACTGTTTATATATGATACCAGTACTAAAATTTATATAAACAGATATCCCTAAGGTTAATTTATAGTAATTATAGTTTGAGCTGCCAAACACAAAATGCACCTTCCTTGTCTGGCCGAAATAAAAAAGAACAGGAAAATAAAGTTTCTTTTTAACTGAAGTAATTTTTCTCAAAACGTTCCTTAAAATTCATTTGTTCGGATTTTGCTTTTATATTTTAATCTATACATAATACATAAATATAAAAGTAACTTTGTTTTGCTCTTCTGATAAAGACAAGATTGGAAGGACACAAAACACAGATTATAAGAAATCTGTAAATTTTCAAGCAAGAACTTTCGAGATTATTGCAGAATCAACAGTAAATGTATAAATGTGTGTAGTTTTTTGGTATACATAAGTTTGGTGTCTTTTCACTTGACTCTCAATGGTTACTTACTTGCTCAAAATCTTCAATTCTTATATATATTTTTAGAACTGCATCCAAAACCAAACCTTCAAAATTATTAAAATTAGCAGCAAGGAAATTAACTGACAGCCACATGGCATCTGACAGAGTTACAACGTCTGGTTTCTTTGGTACAGTCTGAAAAGGGAGAAGAAATCACATGATGTGCTGCTAACAAGAGTACACATATTTGTTAATGAATTAAAAGATGTAAGACTTGAGGTTCTCACAGCAGTGAGTATGAAGAGTTCTGTCTTCTGGGTTGTTGCGCTGTGTAGTCTGGGCGATGTTCACCAAAGTTTCAGAGGTCATACTGCCTCCGTCATCGCAACAACCCAGAAGACAGAAATCTGCATACTCTGATGACGGAGGCAGTATAACCTCTGAAACGTTGGTAAACATCGCCCAGACTACACAGCGCAACAACCCAGGAGACAGAAATCTTCATACTCTGATGATGGAGGCAGTATGACCTCTGAAACGTTGGTAAACATCGCCCAGACTACACAGCGCAACAACCCAGGAGACAGAAATCTTCATACTCTGATGATGGAGGCAGTATGACCTCTGAAACGTTGGTAAACATCGCCCAGACTACACAGCGCAACAACCCAGGAGACAGAAATCTTCATACTCTGATGATGGAGGCAGTATGACCTCTGAAACGTTGGTAAACATCGCCCAGACTACACAGCGCAACAACCCAGGAGACAGAAATCTTCATACTCTGATGATGGAGGCAGTATGACCTCTGAAACGTTGGTAAACATCGCCCAGACTACACAGCGCAACAACCCAGGAGACAGAAATCTTCATACTCTGATGATGGAGGCAGTATGACCTCTGAAACGTTGGTAAACATCGCCCAGACTACACAGCGCAACAACCCAGAAGACAGAAATCTTCATACTCTGTCTCTTGTTACTTTTTTATTTATCTTTCAATGCAATAGAACTTTGTTAACTACTCAGTTAAGCAAAAAATGTTATACCTTTCATGGAACCTGAAGGTGCATTACCATGTTCCAGAAAACCTGCCACCAATCCTTATCCTGAGTCAGATGAATCCAATCCATAATTTCCAATTACATTTCAGGGAGTCTGACCAAAATCTTTTATCCATTTCTTATTACAATAACAAAATTTGGATGACTGTCATAGTATCAAAAAAATAATGAGAATGAAATTCTTCAATTTGTTACTAGAACGCAGTACTAATACATTATGTTAAAAGATAAGCTTTAATTATAAACCCTTTAAACTCCAGTGGTAAATTTACGTACTGCCTATTTTAACAATAAGTAATTCTGTTTTTTGCCCACAGAATATATTTATGTGTTTCATATGACTTTCAGAGTAAACAGGAATTATTTCCTTAAACGGCATTAACCAATTGATCTTATAATGAATATAGGTTTTGTTGTCTTTGAAGAAAGAAATTAATTTTTAAACATTATCAAGACAAGCTTTGGCTTCAAAGGGTCAATCGAAGGACAGAATACTCTCATGAAAGGAAATCTGTGATAAAAACATGAAAATTTGATAACTAACTTAAAGAACGCACATACAGAAGACATGATTTCACAATGACTTACCATTCCCACAGATGGCCTACGAAGCAGGAAATTCCATTGACGTTCATTAATGATTCCCGCTTGTTTAAATATACTTGTACATAGCATGAAACTAAACACAAGCTTGTGCCTTTCAAACAAGCCCCTCGACACATTAGCATAAACCGCGAGTGTAATTTCATCCAGTAGAATTTTCAGACGCACTGCCAAGATTTCAACTTTCTCTGTATTGTCAATCGCTTTATTAAACACCTAAAGACAAAATTCAGAAACACAACATTAAATTCATCAACTAAATATTATAACTGAAATATTATTCCATAATTCACTCACAATCAAACCAATATTTTTCTTGGGATTTTTACTTTTAAAAAAAGTTAAATAACCTGTGATGTTTTGCTTTTAAGTACAGTACTTGCTCACTTGTATGCTGTACGAAACTATCATTAGATAATTTGTATTGCAACGATAAAACATAAAATCTAAACCTGTCAACAAAGATCTGAAATGTAAAAATCTGAGTGTATAAGAAGGTAACAGAGAGTGGCAGGAAAACAATCTAAAATATATAAAATGGGCAAGAAACAAAATTTAACAGATAATGAGAATAATTACATGTCACATAAAAGAACACTTTTACAAAAATACCTTACACTCAAACTGTTTTAGTATCAAAGATAAGTTCATTTAATAGAAATTAAATCAATTCAGTAATTTCTATAATGAAATGCGTCACTTAACATTCGCTGAAGGAATGCAAAAAATATTTCATCCCAGTATTAACAGAAAGTATATTACTGCAAATACACTTTTTCTCTCATTTCACACCCTACACAGCATTAACCGATGCTAGACCAGCAGTAAATGGGTTCAACAGAATTATTTTTATTGATCTTTGCCTCATAACCTGCAAATATTTGTTGATCCATATGAATAATACTAGTCAACCAAGAATTACTTAACAGAACAGAATCATTAAAAAAAAAGTTTTGTGCAAAACATGACAGCTGTCAGGCAAAATCACAATGCGTAAAAGAATTAGAGCACTAAACAACAACCAGGACAGAACTGGAAAAGTATTCACAAGAAATCAGCTGTGTGAGCCCCTAATGATGGAGGAAAAAACACAAATCCCACCTCATACCTGCCTCGAAAACGGCTGAAACGTTGGTTGACACCAAATATTCGATTCAGCTCTCACCTAAAAGCCAAAGTTATATACTGAACTCAAGCTGCACAGACAAGTCTCCGAAATGTTGGACACAAATCTCATTATCACACGGTTGACGGCCTGTGAATACATCATTGTACATGCTGATTGTGGTCTTCTGAGTTCTGACGCCATGTAGGTGATTACTAATCTTTCAGAGGAACGTATCAACTCCATCTTCAGGACTGACGCATGTAAAAGAAAGTAATAAGTTCTTCTGAAACAATGATAACCACCTACAAGACTTCGTGGCATCAGAACCCAGTAGACAACAACCAAAATGGCGCATACGACATGAAAACATCATTTTCATTGTACTTACGAAGACCAGATAGCACAAACTGTAGAATTAATTTACTGTATAAGACAACAGAAAACCAATATTAACAGACCTGGATAAAATATTTAAGACAAGAGAGCACAAACTCGTAGAATTAATTTATTGTATAAGACAACAGAAATATTCTGAAAAACAATATTAACAGACCTGGATAAAATATTTCAAAGAATACTGATACATAAAATCAATATCAGCCAGCTGAGCAACTACAAAGTATAGAACAGATCCACGGGTAGCCACCAAACGATATTTCTCTCTGACAACGGAGATTTTCCCCTCTGCAGCCTCCATTTCCTCTAATCTTGAGGCTACGACGGCTGATGTTTCCTATAAATAAAACAAATATACGTGCCTCAGCAAAGTACGCAACCAGCTCCAAGGTACACTGCAGCTGAAACTCATTCACCTGGTCAAGAAATTTCTGTTTATATCTGAAGGTTCAAAATTGTGAACACAGAAGCACGTCACTGCTCCTATCCTGGACCATTTAAATCAACCCAGTTCACATCCTCACTAATCAATCTATCTGAGGTACACTTAATATTAGTGTCCCACGTATGCTTAAATCTGCAATTTAATTTCATGAAATTTTCCAACCAAAATTCTTTATTAATTTCTATTTTTTAACCATGTATGTGCTACTTTTTTATCTGTATGAACTTCCTTAATTTAATCACCTTAATAATAGGTGAGAGCTCAAATTCTAAAGCTTCTCAATATGAAACTTTCTACAGTCTCAAGTTTCTTCCTCTCACTTAGGTAAAAGCATCATCAATATATATTATTCCATTACAGTGAAAGGTCTATATTTACGTAGCGTAAGAATACACTAAAATTATACACTGTATATTATATTAAAGTATAATTTAAACTAATTCTCTTACCTTACTTTCATTTAGTGTGTTTATAAGGTCATTATCATCCAAAATATCCCCTTCAGATGTATATAACATCCTCAGTATTTTATCCTCTATATTTTGAAGTTCATTTTTATCATTGTTAATTTTGGTTATTAATTCATTTCGCTGTTCTTCTAAATCTGGCTGTTCCAAATGCACAACATCACTGGAAAGTTAAAATTAACAAATTCTTAAATTTTGCTACATAAATTAAGTAAATATGTTCACCTCAGTTTACGCCAACGTTTTTACAAGATGGAGATAGAAAAGATTTTTAAGTTCACATTAGTTCTTGGAACATGTCACCAAAAATCTTCACAACCAGTTTGCCATACGTCAGGGGGAGGGGGGCGGTGGTGACGGAGGAAGCAATTTCAAGTAAAACATATTAATACAACACCGGTCCTATTTCTAGCTTTTGCAGAGCTACGGTGGTTTCAAGATGCGCGCACATGAAAAAATAAAACAGAGTATTAATCTGATTCATTGCTACACTTTACGAGATACATCTTAAAACTGCTCAAAATGTCCGTCAAGGTTTTCGTTGCACAGTCTTGCCCACTTCGAACAAGTTTACTGCCTGCCGAATCATTTCAGAATGTTCTTATATGAACGTAGCAGCAGTCGTAATGGAATGCAGGAGATCCTTTCTCGTGTGCAAACTTCAAAGACAAAGAAACCTCCCACATGGGAGGAGGCCAAGACTTGACTTCGAGCTGTTGGACGACCGGGGTTCGATCCCCGACGGGGGCAGAGGATTTTTCCTCTAGCCTCTGCGTCCAGACCGGCTCTGGGGCCCACCCAGCCTCCTCTACATTGGGTACCGGGGTCCTTTCCCGGGGGTAAAGCCGGCCGGGGCGTGATGCTGACCACTCACCCCCATCTAGTGCCGAGGTCAAGGAAGAGAGGAGCTATACCTCCACTCCCCCCAAACGCCTACATGGCGTATAGTGGGACAAACTTTACTTTACTTTATGTATACACTTACCTCAACAGTTGGTCTTCTAAACCTGATTGCGTCGCTGTAAAGTTTACCAGTGTCACTTGAATGCAGATCTCTGGCAAATAATGCGGATTGGGAAGTCTGGTTGTCATGTAGAAACGAAAGTTATTATCATACTCAATATCAGTATCACCAAGTCTTATTAGAGTTCTCGCACCCTGAAACAAAATTCCAATATGATACCAGTAGAATATTAACTGCATTTTGAAGTACGAGGCGCGTCCTCAAAGTAAGTTTCCCACTCGTCCCACAGCTAGCAAACCTTATATTGCGCGAAGCGACTGTGCATACGTGATAGAGCAATGACGTAGCATGGCGCATGCACTAACGGCACCTCCCGCGTTCTCACAGTAGCATCGTTGCAGCTGTTGAAGATGGAGGTTCTTATTCCAGCTCCCGCCGACTATGAAGTGCGGTCAGTGATAACGCTAGGCCGCACACGGCTCGACGGACAGCAAGTCTCCTGCAGGAGTTCAGCTGGGAGGTGTTTAATCATTCACCCTACAGCCCGGACCTCGCTCCCAGTGATTTCCATCTTTTCCTACACCTCAAGAAATTCCTGTCCGGTCAGCGTCAGCGTTTTGAGAATGACAGAGAGGCGGAGATGGCTGTCACACAGTGGTTCCAATCCCAGGCGGCAGACTTCTACGACACAGGTATTCAAAAGTTGGTCCCACGGTATGACAAATGTCTCAATTCCGGTGGCGAATATGTTGAAAAATAGCTGGACACTTGCTGCATCTGTTGCAACATAATTATCTTTCCAAGTATGACAGAGCTTTATAAGTGATTTTTAAATAAGAATTCATCACCAATTTTATCTTGAATCAGAGTGAGATGGAGAGTGATAAATCTGTATTTATTTATTCCTGATTTAATTGTGATTTCAATTTAATATATATGGCATAAAATGACAGGATTAGTAAGTAATTACTCGAAAAGAAGTGGCAGAGACCTAATTTATGATATATCCTAGCAATAGCTTGGAGGCACTGAGAGAAGCCCTAAAAAGCTCAGTAGGATATGAGGTTTTTACAGCGGTGAGTCTGAAGATGGCTGTCTGTGGGTTGCCGCACCACGTAGTCTTGTAGAAGTTTACCGATGTTTCAGAGGACCTTGCTGCCTCCCTTATCAGGGTGATCACCCTGATGAGGGAAGCAAAAGACCAAATAAAGGCAACAAAGAAGAAGGAAATGACAAGGTACTGAAATATCAGTAACTGCTTTCAAATGGAGCGATTTTAATAAAGATAAACAAAATAGAAAGAAGAAAATCTACAGTTGATTCTTGATTATTCATGTGTGGATTCGTAATGCAAAATCATAATTATATTCTCTGTGATTTAGTAAACATAATGAAAGAATTTAAACAAAAATAGTTTGATTTCAGGTTCTAACAGCAGCATTCACATCACCCTTATGAAGAAGATAGCTGAAATATTGAATTTAAATGTATTCCACCAAGTAATATATAACAGAGTTTTGTTTCTTGGCAGATTATCAAAGTAACTTGGTAGTTCCATTATTTAATCAATTTTGGCATGCAGACCTACGTACCTGAAAAAATGTCTGCTTGAGAAGTACGGGGCCTAGTGTTGGATCCAGCGTCTCTCCAATCCCCTCCAGCAAAACTGGATTACCAGTCCTAATGCCACCCTCAAGGACACGCATGAAGTTGGAATCTGTCAATTTCACTACTTTCAACCCGTTAGCACTTTCCATTTGACGAATCCATTTATTGGCCTGTATTTGAACAGAAGGTGTACCAAGTAATGCACAGGATGGACTTATATGATGGGTATCAGCTGCAGTTACCTTATTTCCTTGCATAAGGTTATAATTATGTAATTTGAAAGTCTTCTTAATTCAGTAAAACCTCACAAATTTGGACACTTGGGGTTCCGCGAAAATGTGTCCAACTTACAGGTGTCCAAGATAGAGGGAAAGATAAAAATCAGATTGTGGTCTACAGCGTCAATAACATTTTCTAAAGTTAATTCCACCAATTTTCGCCTCCCCATCGCAAAAAGAAAAATTTCATTTCTGTTAACACAGTCTGAACTCAAATTCAAGCACAGTACTGACGGAGTTAAAACTGTGTCTTCTGCAATACTGCAGTCCAGTTAAGGCAGAAAAAATTCCATTTCTGTTAACGCAGTCTGAACTCAAATGCAAGCGGAGTTAAAACTGCGTCTTCTGCGATTCTGTAGTCCAGTTAAGGGTTCAGCAAAAGAATAGTTAAACACTTGCAATGCATTCCAATGATGGGTTCAATGTCCATGAGAGGAGGCGTTCATCAGTCAGGAATTCAAAATAACAAAATATGTAACTGAAAAAGTTTCCCTTAAAAGCATCAAAGTTAAGTGCATGAACCTGTCCAACTTACAACAAAAGGGATGTCCAACTTACAACAAAAGGGATGTCCAACTTACAACAAAAGGGATGTCCAACTTACAACAAAAGGGATGTCCAACTTACAACAAAAGGGATGTCCAACTTGCAACAAAAGGGGTGTCCAAGATATAGGGTATTGTGGACATGTAAAATTATAGGATATTCGCCGGTTCCAATTAAAAGTGTCCAATATAAAGGGGTGTCCAAACTTGAGGGGTTTTACTGTATATGTATTCCTTTATATCAGCTTAAGTAATGTTGTGTTCACAGCACTGTGCTCATGAGAGGACCAAGAAAACTACCGTTCTAAGTGATTCAAGAAAGAATAAGCATTGATTTCAGAGAAAAGTTTACAGAGTTAAAAAAAAAAAACTATACTGTAACCAAACTATAGCTGTGTAAGACTTGAGGTTCTCACAGCGGTAAATATGAAGATTTCTGTCTTCTGGGTTATTGCGCTGTGTAGTCTGGTCGATGTTAACCAACGTTTCAGAGGTCATACTGCCTCCGTCATCAGGGCGATGAATATGCCAATAGG